TTCCTGCTGTTTTCTTTGGGGTGAAGAAAGCAGTCCCCTGTGCAAGCAAGAGAAATTGCAAAGTTTTTCTGTTGGCTGTTTTGGTGCCTCGGAAAGTATTTTTGGATACTGCTATTAAAAAACAAATGAAAAGCGTGTAATGCCTACAGGCAGTGGTCTTCTGTTTTAAAGTGTGTTCATGACAAACCTGCCTCTGCTCGCAAAGAGTCTCATATGGATTGTGTTTTAAACAGCAAACTGTTAGCCAAATTTGAAAATATTTTCACACCATCTTTTTTTGGTTAGAAATAGCTTTGGGAAGCACAAGCAAACTGAAGCTGATGTTTGCTTTTTCTCATTTTATCCATGCTGTTCACCATCAGCTGCATCAAGGTCTAAAAATACATAGTTCTTCACAAAATGTGTCCTGTTTTTAAAGGCAGATAATTTCCAGATGATTTGCTCGATAGATAAAACCTGCTAGCTAAAACATGGATTTGATTCTCTGCTGGAGAACATGCAGGGCCCTTTCTCGCAGATGGGGAGTTTGTGAGAGGACACAAAGGCCGCCTGGTTTTTCTGGTAGGAGAGTGATGCCGAGGGTCTCTCCATGTCCAGTAACTCTCGCTGGTGTGAAATGATGCCTCCGCTCTCGTCCTGCACTTATCCTCGCTATGAAGAGGGAGCATCTTCAGTACGTATGGCAACGGGGTCCAGAAGATTAATGATTTTATAAAAATTCACGCAGAACTGGGATCAGCATTAGAAAAACACAGATTGGAATTAAAAGGGAAAAGCCAGAATCTCTCAGCAAAGCATAGAAAACATAGAAATCTGGGCTATCAATAGCGGTTACTAGCAGAAACTTTTTTCTCAGGGCAGGCTTCTCAGTGGAGCTCCGTGGCTGAGCCAGGCGGGAGGTCCAGCGGGATGGCGGAGGCAGAGCCGTGTCTGTGTGGCGAGCAGCCTTGCTCACGCTCTCCTGTGCCTGGGCAGCCCGTGCCTTTCCTGGGCTGTGTCCTGCTGGGTGGGGGCAGCCGGCACGGGCTGTTTGCACCCGAAGGGCTGTCGGTCCGTCCTCATGCCAGAGGCTGGTGCAGAGCAGCTCCGGGCTCCAGCAGCTTCATGCACAGCTCTCTCTCCAGCCCTGGGGCCCGGTGAGATTGGGGCTTGCTGGGCGTCGCATCCCGCCCTCCCACACCGTGTGTTCCCGGGAAGGTCTCCCACCTCATCTAGCCTGTGTCCAGACTTGCCTTGTGCTGGATTTTCCGTTTAATAAGTTGTGAGCCACTGAAAATAGTTTCAACTTCACTTCCATGAGGTCTGTTTTTTCCTATTTATAGGAAGGTTTAATGGACAATTTAAAAATATCTCTGTGCTGCAGGACTGCCGGGCAGAGCGTTGTTGAGAGGGAGGGAGGGAGGGCGTCGCACACTGCTGCAGCTAGAGAGGTGACGAGTGAAGTTTGGCTTCCCTTTTCTCGGGGACTGGGGTGGGGGAGCTCAGCGTGTGCATCGCCCGCGCCTCGGGGAGCGTGGGAGCGTGCAGCGGGCTTGAGTAGGTTTGGAGCAGGCCTTAGTCATCAAGAGAGTTTCAAAGATCTTGTTTGTGGATATACTCAGAAGTTTCTGGCACGGAAAAATCCAAAGCACGTGCTGTTAGCGCTTTCTGCCTTGAAGGAAATGCAGTTGAGTCCTGCAGGGTGTTCAGGCACTCTCTTGGTGCCTTATGTTGAGACTTGCATTTGCAGAGGGGATCGTGCTCGCTGGCCACCGTACAGGCTGTCCCTGGGTGCCGCCTTGCGAGGAGCTGCCGTGTCCTGCTGGAGGGTGGATGGCCGCCTCTGTAGCGCTTTGGTTGTTGGCCAAGTCGGGGTTTGGTGGGGCAGAGGGGGCTTGTGCCAGGGTGTAGCTGGTCTTGCTCACAGCTGGACTGAGGAGCAGGTAAAGCAGCTGAACCACCCTTGGCTGTAATGGCTGAATCGCCACCTTGGCCTCCCCCTGGTATTTGGGGCCTGCTCTGGCTTTTGGAAGCAGTGTTAAAATTGATGTTTGTTGCTTAACCTGACTGGACTCATCAGGCAAGAGCGAGCTGACAGCAGCAACGTCTTCTGCTCTGTAGTAATGTCCTCTCCATTACCCATCTCCCTTCCTCAGGCATATCTCGCTGACGCTCCCTGCCAGCTTTCGAGGGAAAAGTCACAGCACTCGCCTGGACTTGGAGCACCAGCACTCAAATTTGTATGCCATATCAGGTAAGCTGGCGTACGCGATGGTTCCTCTGCTCTTCTGTGTAATCCGTGGTGTAACCAAGTAAAGCAGCCCTGCTTGCGCAAACAGCCAGGTGTGTGGGACCCATGAAACAAACGTCCAGCTTTGCCTCAGTGCCATTTAAATGTCGAGAGCAGAAGGGGTGCAGAGACCCCAGAAAACACCCAGGCACACGTGTCACTGGCAACAAACGTTACTGATCACTGGGGAGATTGCAGCCCTCAGGGGGGGATGCTGCTGCCCACGGAGGTGCTAGATCAGAGCTCTGATGGAAAGCAACACCAACACAAACTTTGTTCCTTGTCTTTTTCATGATCTTCCCAGGTGAGTCATAAGAGATGACACCTCTGCCCGTTTCACAGGAAGCTTTGTCCTGCCTAGCAAGGATGAGTTTGGTACACACTGTTCTTTGCTACACTCAACATACACATCAAAAACAGTTGAGATCTTTACTCTTTCCTATTTCTATATTCTGAATACTGGCACTGCGTAGATTTGTTTTCTCAGTATTAGGGTAAATTTGAAATGAGATGTTAGGATATGGGGAGGTCTGCAATATTTTTAAGAAGCATGTGCTTGCATGCTTTGTCTCTCTAGCGGTAGCTTTCTCTCTGTTCACCATTCTAGGCTAGTGCACAAGTGCTAGAGCTAGTGACAGTTTCCAGATGTCAGTGTGGAAAAAACCTGCCGATGAGTATTTTAGCTGTTTTTTATTTTTAACTAGTAGTAGTCTGCAGCAAAAATGTGTATTTAAATAGAGTGGTGAGGATCAAGCCCATTCCTTCACCTGTGCAGGTACAGGTACCTGTTACTGTGCTTCAGGACCACATGGTGGGTTCGGTTTGGAGCTGAGGTCCCTGTGAGCTGTCCCTGACAGCTCTGCTCCTCTGGAGGAGGTCCTGCCTTTAAGTGCTTGCTTTCCTGAAGGAGGAGTGAGCAAAAAAAGGAACGTAGCCTGGTTCTCAGAGCCCGGGAAGAAATGCTGCTAGGTTGTACCTCACGGAGTCTGTCACCAGCACTCCTGAACGTGCTGAGAGCTGTGTGGTCTGGAAGCTATTCACGAACCACAGCAAAAGGACTCTTGGTTCTGCAAACTAAAGAAAAATGGTAGGTGCAGGTGTGGCACAACAGTGTGTTTCACCTACTTCTTCTCTTAGAGGCTAGCTCATATTCTATGCTTCAGCTGAGTAGTGCTGGGATGCAAGGTAGTATTACACCTGATGGTGACAGGCATGGTAGAATCCCGCTTAGCCACAGTTTTCTCTTTGTTATGTCATTTTTTTGCAAGAGGAGAAAAATATTGGCTTTAAACCTGACTCTGTCAAAACCTAATGAAAGTACAGTCCCTTCATCTGACTGAAGGAGGTTTTCAGGACCGTTTGGAAACCCAGAAGCAGCAGCAGTGGATTCAGTGGGCTGCACAATAGGTAGTGCTTGTGCATAATCAGGGAAGAGAAGATGGCAAAAATGTGCCATTCACAGATTCTTGCTATTAATAGTGAGTGACACTTCTAACATGGGAACATGGCATTAATTCATGTACCATAATCAAAGGGTTATTTAAAAGGTAATCTCTGCCTGAAACTGCAGCTTCGGGTTCCTAAATAGATGGAATATAACAATTGCATAATTCTTGTCAGTACTCGTTTTTCTTGTTACTCTCCTGCCCTAATAGATTTAGAAATGTAAGGGAAGGCGTGTTCTTGTGCTCACATGAGACAGTCCTGCACGGAGGACTGAAAGCTGCACTTTATCTCCTGAGAAAGCATCAAATGTGCAAACAGTGAGGCAGCGACTCTGCATGAATGTTACTTAGAACAGCCCTGCTCTAGGACTTGCCCTGGACTGCTTCTGCTTGCAGTGCAGCTGGGAAAGATGACCTGTTTTGCAAAGAACCTGAATACTTTACCAGATAATTATAGGCAAAGCACAAAATGGGTCTGCAAAACTGGGCATGGCATTAGTCCTCCACGTTTGCTCAAGCACATTTCAGTCAAAGTATATAACTCTTCTCCTCGCCCCCCCCAACTGCACATTCTCCTCCAGACACGTTGTTATACAAGTTGTTGTGCATACATGTACTGTAATGGTTATTGCAGCTGTGAATCGTTTCTGAAGAAAGGGTCTTGTCATATGAAACATCCTGTGCATTGGCAGGGATCTTCATGCGTAACTCCTGACCACTGCTGCCTTTTCAGCGGCTGTGATGAGGTGCTGGGACAATTCCCTCTGCGTGCTTAAACGTTGCTGAGGTAGATTAGCCCCCAGACGTGCTGTGGAAACCATTCTGAAGTTTCCTGTTACGTTGGTGTAGTTTGCAGCCAGTCCGTTTTATCTGTGCTGCAATGCGAGTGCCTCGCTGCAGTGCCATGGCAACGGGAAATTTATTAACGCGCTTCCACTGTCGTCCCTAATTGCTCTGCCGGGATG